GCGCCGAATATAGAAAATCATTCACAATGTTTAACGGAAATTCTGTGGCCCCGTTAAATCAATTCTGTATTCACACATTAAGCACGGCGTCTTAAACACTGGTTTCATTATTCCAGACTGTGAGGCATTTTAGAGACCATCGTGGAAGTAGGAAAAAAATACCAGCATTACTTGCGCCGAATATAGAAAATCATTCACAATGTTTAACAGAATTCTCTGACCCCGTTAAATCAATTCTGTATTCACACATTAAGCACGGCGTCTTAAACATCATCTTGACTACTCCAGACTGCGAGGCATCAGTGCTATAAAAAGCTGTTCTTAGTGTATTAATCAATTACAATCGTACACAATTGAAAGTATGTAAGTGTATATGATTCTCTGATTCCGAAACCTTCCGAGTTTCTGCGCATGCGCCAGACGGAGTTCACTTCGCCAAAATAGGGGTGAAGTGAGAAATGGAGGAGGAGATATTTATATTTAAATTAGCGTGATCTGACAAAAAAACACCGGAAACGAACTCATCTTGCCCATCGCCTGTCACTCCTTTCCTGAGTAAAATCGTCCAAAAGTGCTAGTCTTGGCATTTTGAAAGGATCAGTAAAAAAATAAAACATTCGAGTTTGTATTCGTCTGTCAGAGATCAGAAGCCGTCATAGCTCGGTGGTTAGAGCACTGGTTCTGTAAACCAGGGATCGTGGGTTCAATCCTCACTGGTTGCTGAGCCTAGTTGAAAGCGAGAAATATTTTTTGCTTGGTACAGAGGCACAGGGCGGTGTCCTGTCTCAGCCATCCAAACTGCGAAAAGAGATCGCGAGATCTCAAAAGCGGGGCTGCCCTGTAGAGTCAATGTCTGAGAGATCAGAAGCCACCATATCTCAGTAGTTAGAACACTGGTCTTGTAAACCAGGGGTCGTGAGTTCAATCCTCACTGGTGGCTGAGCCTGGTTGAAAGCGAGAAATATTTTTGCCTGGTACAGGGGCACAGGGCGGTGTTCTGTATGAGAGATCGGAATTGTGGGTTTGGTCCTTTAACGATGGGAGATTGAGTCGCAACTTTACTAATCCCTTCTCCTCGGAGATCTATGAAAGGGGAGCGCAACTTTTGCCCACTGATTTTAACGTGTAACGTAAAATATTCCCAAAGATCGCCTGCGACAAAAGTATAATTAATTTTCCAACTCCTAAACCTACGCCAGAAGCCTTTCCATTTCCTTCCAGCTCATATGCAGTTGACAAATTTCTGCCAATTGACAAAAAATGTTACTTTCTTACCAGTGAAGAAAACGCATATTTGATCAGAAATATTAGCATTCTTTGGATGAAACAACTTCCAGGGAGATGAGCTCTCCAAGCGGCCAATTATTTGATCAAATAATTTTCAGGATTTTATAAATGGACTTTTAAAGTAGATCAAACTTGCTTTTGTTATATGAGCCAAACACTGATTTCTAAAGAATATGTTAGCAGGATAATTTTAAGAAAATATACGAATAAATAGGAATGAGCTATTTTGAATTGAATTTGAAAAACTGGAAAAGACATTTCAGCAGCTTGTAGGTTTCATAGAATCATATCAATCCAGATACGCATTTCAAAACTTTTGCTTCTTAAATTCTAGCATACTACTTCATCGTAATTCGGTTTCGCAACATTTTTGAAAGAAGTCTTCTCGAGATACAAAAACCTGATACCTCAAAGGATTTTCAGTTTATCATATGCTAATTATTAGCATTCATTTAATTTTATGCGATAAAAATGGAACATTTCTTAATGCTAATCATAAATTTATTTTTGTTCTAGGAGCATAGCGATGCTTCTTAATAAATGATTAGGATATTTTTTAATTCTTATTCACACACAGAGAAATGTTTGCTTTAGCTTCGTCTCAAAAATTGAGTTCAAATAATCGTGAAGATGCAAAAGGTAAAATGTAAGTGAAAAAATTAATTAATTAAAAAGTCTTCTCAAACTTCAATGTGTTCTGAATAAGATTATATTAAAATTTCACTTCCTTTAACCCTTAAATGCCCCGTATTGCCTTTAAGAAACATACACAATTTTGCCTTCTAAAATATTGAGAATAAGACCGAAGCTCTAATATCTGTTGTTGTCAATAGGATGCATACTGAAAATGCTATTAAATTAATTTATAACATGCAGATTGCAGGCTGAGTGCTGATGAAAAAGAAAAAAAATTAATGTTCTTCACTTGCGGCTGCATCTTTTTGCTTTGTTTGTAATCTTGGGAATAACATATTTTATTCCACAGTGTTGAAGGAAATTCCTTATTCATATTATTAGTTTTTGACATTCATCTGTGTTTAATATTATATAATTTTATCAAGGACATTTTTTCTCAAATAAAGACCAAAGTTGCTGATTGGTAAAAAACAGCTTTTCAGCCGTAAACCAAATTTAAAACAAAATAGTATTTTTAAAATAATTTTCTAATGTTTTATTCAAGAAATGAAAGTCAAAAAATTTTTAAATCAATTTTTTAAAAATCGACCCTTTAAGAGTTAAACACATAGATGATTTGCCTTTACAACGAAGGTGTATCAAATAGTCGCTTTCCGAACTTTTCAGCAAGAAGTAAATAATTCTTAAACGTTATAATCCTATACAAAAACCCTGGAATCCATAAATGTCTGAAGTATTCAATGGATTCAGTGGAATCAAAACGATAACACATTTCCGAAATAAAAGATGCCGTTTAATTAGATGGCAGAGGAAGCAGCACAGTGAAGTACTTAATGAGCTGCATTTAAAAAAAAATTAATTTTCATAAGTGAAAAAATTGTTCGTAATTATTATGTATTTCATGTATGTATTTACCATAAAAAATTAATAAATATTTGTTCCATTAAGAAGAAATAAAGTAAATATTATAGTTAAATTATAATTTAAAAAA